CTTTCCATCACCCCGCCCCATTCTCCCGCTTTCCATCACCCCGCCCCATTCTCCCCGCTTTCCATCACCCCGCCCCATTCTCCCTCCTTCCATCACCCGCCCCATTCTCCCGCTTTCCATCACCCCGCCCCATTCTCCCGCCTTTCCATCACCCCGCCCCATTCTCCCGCTTTCCATCACCCGCCCCATTCTCCCGCTTTCCATCACCCGCCCATTCTCCCCGCTTTCCATCACCCTCGCCCATTCTCCCGCTTTCCATCACCCCGCCCCATTCTCCCGCTTTCCATCACCCCGCCCCATTCTCCCGCTTTCCATCACCCCGCCCATTCTCCGCTTTCCATCACCCCGCCCCATTCTCCCGCTTTCCATCACCCTGCCCCATTCACCCGCTTTCCAATGGACGTGGACGGGACGTGGACGTGGACATGGACGTGGACGTGGACGTGGACGTGGACATGGACGTGGACATGGACGTGTGGACGTGGACGTGGACATGGACGTGGACGTGGACGAAGACGTGGACGTGGACATGGACGTGGACGTGGACGTGGACGTGGACATGGACGTGGACGTGGACGAAGACGTGGACGTGGACATGACGTGGACGTGGACGTGGACGTGGACATGACGTGGAACGGACGAAGACGTGGACGAAGACTGGACGTGGACGTGGACCTGGACGTGGACGTGGACGTGGACGTGGACGTGGACGTGGACGTGGACGTGGACGTGGACGTGGACGTGGACGTGGACGTGGACGTGGACGTGGACGTGGACGTGGACATGGACGTGGACATGGACGTGGACGTGGACGTGGACATGGACGTGGACGTGGACATGGACGTGGACGTGGATGTGACGTGGACGTGGACGTGGACGTGGACGTGGACGTGGACGTGGACGTGGACGTGGACGTGGACGTGGACGTGGACATGGACGTGGACGTGGACGTGGACGTGGACATGGACGTGGACGTGGACGTGGACGTGGACATGGACGTGGACGTGGACGTGGACGTGGACGTGGACGTGGACGTGGACGTGGACTTGGACGTGGACGTGGACGTGGACGTGGACGTGGATTGACGTGGACGTGGACGTGGACGTGGACGTGGACGTGGACGTGGACGTGGACTTGGACGTGGACGTGGACATGGACGTGGACGTGGAGATGGACGTGGACGTGGAGGTGGACATGGACGTGGACGTGGACGTGGACGTGGACCTGGACGTGGACGTGGACGTGGACTGGACATGGACGTGGACGTGGATTGGACGTGGACGTGGACATGGACGTGGACGTGGACGTGGACATGGACTTGGACGTGGACGTGGACGTGGACGTGGACATGGACGTGGACGTGGACGTGGACGTGGACGTGGAAATGGACGTGGACGTGGACGTGGACATGGACGTGGACGTGGACATGGACGTGGACGTGGACGTGGACGTGGACGTGGACGTGGACGTGGACGTGACGTGGACGTGGACGTGGACGTGGACGTGACATGGGGGACATGACGTGGACGTGGACGTGGACATGGACGTGGACGTGGACGTGGACGTGGACGTGGACGTGGACGTGGACGTGGACATGGACGTGGACATGGACGTGGACGTGGACGTGGACATGGACGTGGACGTGGACTGGACGTGGACATGACGTGGGACGTGGACGTGGACGTGGACATGGACGTGGACGTGGACGTGGACGTGGACGTGGACGTGGACGTGGACGTGGACATGGACGTGGACGTGGACGTGGACATGGACGTGGACGTGGACGTTGACGTGGACATGGACGTGGACGTGGACGTGGACGTGGACGTGGACATGGACGTGGACGTGGACGTGGACGTGGACATGGACGTGGACATGGACGTGGACGTGGACGTGGACGTGGACGTTGACATGGACGTGGACGTGGACGTGGACATGGACGTGGACGTGGACGTGGACGTGGACATGGACGTGGACGTGGACGTGGACGTGGACATGGACGTGGACGTGGACGTGGACGTGGACGTGGACATGGACGTGGACGTGGACTGGGACGTGGACATGGACGTGGACATGGACGTGGACGTGGAGGTGGACATGGACGTGGACGTGGACGTGGACGGGACATGGACGTGGACATGGACGTGGACGTGGACGTGGACATGGACGTGGACATGGACGTGGACGTGGACGTGGACATGGACGTGGACGTGGACATGGACGTGGACGTGGACGTGGACGTGGACATGGACGTGGACGTGGACGTGGACGTGGACGTGGACGTGGACGTGGACGTGGACGTGGACGTGGACATGGACGTGGACGTGGACGTGGACGTGGACATGGACGTGGACGTGGACGTGGACGTGGACGTGGACATGGACGTGGACGTGGACGTGGGACGTGGACATGGACGTGGACATGGACGTGCGTGGACGTGGACATGGACGTGGACGTGGACGTGGACGTGGACATGGACGTGGACTGGACGTGGACGTGGACGTGGACATGGACGTGGACATGGACGTGGACGTGGACGTGGACGTGGACGTGGACGTGGACGTGGACGTGGACGTGGACATGGACGTGGACGTGGACGTGGACATGGACGTGGACATGGACGTGGACGTGGACGTGGACGTGGACATGGACGTGGACGTGGACGTGGACTGGACGTGGACGTGGACATGGACGTGGACGTGGACGTGGACGTGGACGTGGAGGTGGACGTGGACGTGGACGTGGACGTGGACATGGACGTGGACGTGGACGTGGACGTGGACGTGGACGTGGACATGGACGTGGACGTGGACATGGACGTGGACGTGGACATGGACGTGGACATGGACGTGGACGTGGACGTGGACGTGGACGTGGACGTGGACGTGGACGTGGACGTGGACGTGGACGTGGACGTGGACGTGGACGTGACGTGGACGTGGACGTGGACTTGGACGTGGACGTGGACGTGGACTTGGACGTGACGTGGACATGGACGTGGACGTGGACGTGGACATGGACGTGGACGTGGACGTGGACATGGACGTGGACGTGGACGTGGACGTGGACGTGGACGTGGACGTGGACGTGGACGTGGACGTGGACGTGGACGTGGACATGGACGTGGACGTGGACGTGGACATGGACGTGGACGTGGACGTGGACATGGACGTGGACGTGGACGTGGACGTGGACATGGACTTTGACGTGGACGTGGACGTGGACGTGGACATGGACGTGGACGTGGACGTGGACGTGGACGTGGACGTGGACGTGGACGTGGACATGGACGTGGACGTGGACGTGGACGTGGACGTGGACGTGGACGTGGAGGACGTGGACGTGGACATGGACGTGGACGTGGACGTGGACGTGGACGTGGACATGGACGTGGACGTGGACGTGGACATGGACGTGGACGTGGACGTGGACGTGGACGTGGACATGGACGTGGACGTGGACGTGGACGTGGACATGGACGTGGACATGGACGTGGACGTGGACGTGGACTGGACGTGGACGTGGACGTGGACGTGGACATGGACGTGGACATGGACGTGGACGTGGACGTGGACGTGGACGTGGACGTGGACGTGGACGTGGACGTGGACATGGACGTGGACGTGGACGTGGACATGGACGTGGACGTGGACGTGGACGTGGACGTGGACGTGGACATGGACGTGACATGGACATGGACGTGGACGTGGACGTGGACGTGGACATGGACGTGGACGTGGACGTGGACGTGGACATGGACGTGGACATGGACGTGGACGTGGACATGGACGTGGACGTGGACGTGGACGTGGACGTGGACGTGGACATGGACGTGGACGTGGACGTGGACGTGGACATGGACGTGGACGTGGACATGGACGTGGACGTGGACATGGACGTGGACATGGACGTGGACGTGGACGTGGACGTGGACGTGGACGTGGACATGGACGTGGACGTGGACGTGGACATGGACGTGGACATGGACGTGGACATGGACGTGGACGTGGACATGGACGTGGACGTGGACGTGGACATGGACGTGGACGTGGACATGGACGGGACGTGGACGTGGACGTGGACGTGGACGTGGACGTGGACGTGGACGTGGACGTGGACGTGGACGTGGACGTGGACGTGGACGTGGACATGGACGTGGACGTGGACGTGGACGTGGACGTGGACGTGGACGTGGACGTGGACGTGGACGTGCATGGACGTGGACGTGGACGTGGACGTGGACATGGACGTGGACGTGGACGTGGACGTGGACGTGGACATGGACGTGGACATGGACGTGGACGTGGACATGGACGTGACGTGGACGTGGACGTGGACGTGGACGTGGACATGGACGTGGACGTGGACGTGATGTGGACGTGGACGTGGACGTGGACGTGGACGTGGACGTGGACGTGGACGTGGACGTGGACGTGGACGTGGACGTGGACGTGGACGTGGACGTGGACATGGACGTGGACGTGGACATGGACGTGGACGTGGACGTGGACGTGGACATGGACGTGGACGTGGACGTGGACGTGGACTTGACGTGGACGTGGACGTGGACATGGACGTGGACGTGGACGTGGACATGGACGTGGACGTGGACGTGGACGTGGACGTGGACGTGGACGTGGACGTGGACGTGGACATGGACGTGGACGTGGACGTGGACATGGACGTGGACGTGGACGTGGACATGGACGTGGACGTGGACGTGACGTGGACATGGACGTGGACGTGGACGTGGACGTGGACGTGGACATGGACATGGACGTGGACGTGGACGTGGACGTGGACGTGGACGTGGACGTGGACGTGGACGTGGACGTGGACGTGGACGTGGACTGGACGTGGACGTGGACGTGGACGTGGACGTGGACGTGGACGTGGACGTGGACATGGACGTGGACGTGGACGTGGACGTGGACGTGGACGTGGACGTGGACGTGGACGTGGACGTGGACGTGGACGTGGACGTGGACGTGGACGTGGACGTGGACGTGGACGTGGACGTGGACGTGGACGTGGACGTGGACGTGGACGTGGACGTGGACGTGGACGTGGACGTGGACGTGGACGTGGACGTGGACGTGGACGTGGACGTGGACGTGGACGTGGACGTGGACGTGGACGTGGACGTGGACGTGGACGTGGACGTGGACGTGGACGTGGACGGACGTGGACGTGGACGTGGACGTGGACGTGGACGTGGACGTGGACGTGGACATGGACGTGGACGTGGACGTGGACATTACGTGGACGTGGACGTGGACGTGGACGTGGACGTGGACGTGGACGTGACGTGGACGTGGACGTGGACGTGGACGTGGACGTGGACGTGGACGTGGACGTGGACGTGGACGTGGACGTGGACGTGGACGTGGACGTGGACGTGGACGTGGACGTGGACGTGGACGTGGACATGGACGTGGACGTGGACGTGGACGTGGACGTGGACGTGGACGTGGACGTGGACGTGGACGTGGACATGGACGTGGACGTGGACGTGGACGTGGACGTGGACGTGGACGTGGACGTGGACGTGGACATGGACGTGGACGTGGACGTGGACATGGACGTGGACGTGGACGTGGACGTGGACGTGGACGTGGACGTGGACGTGGACGTGGACATGGACGTGGACGTGGACGTGGACATGACGTGGACGTGGACGTGGACGTGGACGTGGACGTGGACGTGGACGTGGACGTGGACGTGGACGTGGACGTGGACGTGGACGTGGACATGGACGTGGACGTGGACGTGGACGTGGACGTGGACGTGGACGTGGACGTGGACGTGGACGTGGACGTGACGTGGACATGGACGTGGACGTGGACGTGGACATGGACGTGGACGTGGACGTGGACGTGGACGTGGACGTGGACGTGGACGTGGACATGGACGTGGACGTGGACGTGGACATGGACGTGGACGTGGACGTGGACGTGGACATGGACGTGGACGTGGACGTGGACATGGACGTGGACGTGGACGTGGACGTGGACGTGGACGTGGACGTGGACGTGGACGTGGACGTGGACGTGGACGTGGACGTGGACGTGGACGTGGACGTGGACATGGACGTGGACGTGGACGTGGACATGGACATGGACGTGGACGTGGACGTGGACGTGGACGTGGACGTGGACGTGGACGTGGACGTGGACGTGGACATGGACGTGGACGTGGACGTGGACGTTGACGTGGACGTGGACGTGGACATGGACGTGGACGTGGACGTGGACGTGGACGTGGACGTGGACGTGGACGTGGACGTGGACGTGGACGTGGACGTGGACGTGGACATGGACGTGGACGTGGACGTGGACATGGACGTGGACGTGGACGTGGACATGGACGTGGACGTGGACGTGGACGTGGACGTGGACGTGGACATGGACGTGGACGTGGACGTGGACGTGACGTGGACGTGGACGTGGACGTGGACATGGACGTGGACGTGGACGTGGACATGGACGTGGACGTGGACGTGGACGTGGACGTGGACGTGGACGTGGACATGGACGTGGACGTGGACGTGGACGTGGACATGGACGTGGACGTGGACGTGGACGTGGACGTGGACGTGGACATGGACGTTGGGACGTGGACGTGGACATGGACATGGACGTGGACGTGGACGTGGACGTGGACGTGGACGTGGACGTGGACGTGGACGTGGACGTGGACGTGGACATGGACGTGGACGTGGACATGGACGTGGACATGGACGTGGACGTGGACGTGGACGTGGACGTGGACGTGGACGTGGACGTGGACGTGGAATGGACGTGGACGTGGACGTGGACGTGGACGTGGACGTGGACATGGACGTGGACATGGACGTGGACGTGGACGTGGACGTGGACGTGGACGTGGACGTGGACGTGGACGTGGACGTGGACGTGGACGTGGACGTGGACGTGGACGTGGACGTGGACGTGGACGTGGACGTGGACGTGGACGTGGACGTGGACGTGGACGTGGACGTGGACGTGGACTGGACGTGGACGTGGACGTGAACGTGGCCCTGGTCGTGGACGTGGACGTGGACTTGGACGTGGACGTGGACGTGGACGTGGACGTGGACGTGGACGTGGACGTGGACTTGGACGTGGACGTGGACATGGACGTGGACGTGGAGGTGGACATGGACGTGGACGTGGACGTGGACGTGGACGTGGACATGGACGTGGACGTGGACGTGGACATGGACGTGGACGTGGACGTGGACGTGGACATGGACGTGGACGTGGACGTGGACGTGGACGTGGACGTGGACGTGGACGTGGACGTGGACATGGACGTGGACGTGGACGTGGACGTGGACGTGGACGTGGACGTGGACGTGGACGTGGACATGGACGTGGACGTGGACGTGGACGTGGACGTGGACGTGGACGTGGACGTGGACGTGGACGTGGACGTGGACATGGACGTGGACGTGGACGTGGACGTGGACATGGACGTGGACGTGGACGTGGACGTGGACGTGGACATGGACGTGGACGTGGACGTGGACGTGGACGTGGACGTGGACGTGGACATGGACGTGGACGTGGACGTGGACGTGGACGTGGACATGGACGTGGACGTGGACGTGGACGTGGACTGGACGTGGACGTGGACGTGGACATGGACGTGGACGTGGACGTGGACGTGGACGTGGACATGGACGTGGACGTGGACGTGGACGTGGACGTGGACATGGACGTGGACGTGGACGTGGACGTGGACATGGACGTGGACGTGGACGTGGACGTGGACGTGGACGTGGACGTGGACATGGACGTGGACGTGGACGTGGACGTGGACATGTCGTGGACGTGGACGTGGACATGGACATGGACGTGGACGTGGACGTGGACATGGACGTGGACGTGGACGTGGACATGGACGTGGACGTGGACGTGGACGTGGACACGTGGACGTGGACGTGGACGTGGACGTGGACGTGGACGTGGACGTGGACGTGGACGTGGACGTGGACATGGACATGGACGTGACGTGGACGTGGACGTGGACTGGACGTGGACGTGGACGTGGACGTGGACGTGGACGTGGACGTGGACGTGGACATGGACGTGGACGTGGACGTGGACATGGACGTGGACGTGGACGTGGACGTGGACATGGACGTGGACGTGGACGTGGACGTGGATGGACGTGGACGTGGACATGGACGTGGACGTGAACGTGGACATGGACGTGGACGTGGACGTGGAATGGTCGGGACGTGGACGTGGACGTGGACGTGGACGTGGACTGGACGTGGACATGGACGTGGACGTGGACGTGGACGTGGACGTGGACGTGGACGTGGACGTGGACGTGGACGTGGACGTGGACGTGGACGTGGACGTGGACGTGGACGTGGACGTGGACATGGACGTGGACATGGACGTGGACGTGGACGTGGACGTGGACGTGGACATGGACGTGGACGTGGACGTGGACGTGGACATGGACATGGACGTGGACGTGGACGTGGACCTGAACGTGGGTGACATGGACGTGGACGTGGACGTGGACGTGGACGTGGACGTGGACGTGGACATGGACGTGGACGTGGACGTGGACGTGGACGTGGACGTGGACGTGGACGTGGACGTGGACGTGGACGTGGACGTGGACGTGGACATGGACGTGGACGTGGACGTGGACATGGACGTGGACGTGGACGTGGACATGGACGTGGACGTGGACTGGACGTGGACGTGGACATGGACGTGGACGTGGACATGGACGTGGACGTGGACGTGGACGTGACGTGGACGTGGACGTGGACGTGGACATGGACGTGGACGTGGACGTGGACATGGACGTGGACGTGGACGTGGACGTGGACATGGACGTGGACGTGGACGTGGACGTGGACATGGACGTGGACGTGGACGTGGACGTGGACATGGACGTGGACGTGGACGTGGACGTGGACGTGGACGTGGACATGGACGTGGACGTGGACGTGGACGTGGACATGGACATGGACGTGGACGTGGACGTGGACGTGGACATGGACGTGGACGTGGACGTGGACATGGACGTGGACGTGGACGTGGACGTGGACGTGGACATGGACGTGGACGTGGACGTGGACGTGGACGTGGACATGGACGTGACGTGGACGTGGACATGGACGTGGACGTGGACGTGGACGTGGACGTGGACGTGGACGTGGACGTGGACATGGACGTGGACGTGGACGTGGACGTGGACATGGACGTGGACGTGGACGTGGACGTGGACGTGGACGTGGACGTGGACGTGGACGTGGACATGGACGTGGACGTGGACGTGGACGTGGACATGGACGTGGACGTGGACGTGGACGTGGACTGGACGTGGACGTGGACGTGGACGTGGACGTGGACGTGGACGTGGACGTGGACGTGGACGTGGACGTGGACGTGGACGTGACGTGGACGTGGACGTGGACGTGGACGTGCCGTGGACGTGGACGTGGACATGGACGTGGACGTGGACATGGACGTGGACGTGGCGTGGACGTGGACGTGGACGTGGACATGGACGTGGACGTGGACATGGACGTGGACGTGGACGTGGACGTGGACGTGGACGTGGACGTGGACGTGGACGTGGACGTGGACGTGGACATGGACGTGGACGTGGACGTGGACGTGGACATGGACGTGGACGTGGACGTGGACATGGACGTGGACATGGACGTGGACGTGGACGTGGACGTGGACATGGACGTGGACGTGGACGTGGACGTGGACATGGACGTGGACGTGGACGTGGACGTGGACATGGACGTGGACGTGGACGTGGACGTGGACGTGGGACGTGGACGTGGACGTGGACGTGGACATGGACGTGGACGTGGACGTGGACATGGACGTGGACGTGGACGTGGACGTGGACGTGGACGTGGACGTGGACGTGGACGTGGACGTGGACGTGGACGTGGACGTGGACGTGGACGTGGACGTGGACGTGGACATGGACGTGGACGTGGACGTGGACGTGGACGTGGACGTGGACGTGGAGATGGACGTGGACATGGACGTGGACGTGGACGTGGACATGGACGTGGACGTGGACGTGGACATGGACGTGGACGTGGACGTGGACGTGGAGATGGACGTGGGACGTGGACGTGGACGTGGACGTGGACGTGGACGTGGGACGTGGACGTGGACATGGACGTGGACGTGGACGTGGACGTGGACGTGGACGTGACGTGGACGTGGACGTGGACGTGGACGTGGACGTGGACGTGGACGTGGACGTGGACGTGGACGTGGACGTGGACGTGGACGTGGACGTGGACGTGGACGTGGACATGGACGTGGACGTGGACGTGGACATGGACGTGGACGTGGACGTGGACGTGGACGTGGACATGGACGTGGACGTGGACGTGGACGTGGACGTGGACGTGGACGTGGACGTGGACGTGGACGTGGACATGGACGTGGACGTGGACGTGGACGTGGACGTGGACATGGACGTGGACGTGGACGTGGACGTGGACGTGGACGTGGACATGGACGTGGACGTGGACGTGGACATGGACATGGACGTGGACGTGGACGTGGACATGGACGTGGACGTGGACGTGGACATGGACGTGGACGTGGACGTGGACGTGGACATGGACGTGGACGTGGACGTGGACGTGGACGTGGACATGGACGTGGACGTGGACGTGGACGTGGACGTGGACGTGACGTGGACGTGGACGTGGACGTGGACATGGACGTGGACATGGACGTGGACATGGACGTGGACGTGGACGTGGACGTGGACATGGACGTGGACGTGGACGTGGACATGGACGTGGACGTGGACGTGGACGTGGACGTGGACGTGGACGTGGACGTGGACGTGGACGTGGACGTGGACGTGGACATGGACGTGGACGTGACGTGGACATGGACGTGGACGTGGACGTGGACATGGGTGGACGTGGACGTGGACGTGGACGTGGACGTGGACGTGGACATGGACGTGGACATGGACGTGGACGTGGACGTGGACGTGGACGTGGACGGACGTGGACGTGGACGTGGACGTGGACGTGGACGTGGACGTGGACGTGGACGTGGACGTGGACGTGGACATGGACGTGGACATGGACGTGGACGTGGACGTGGACGTGGACGTGGACGTGGACATGGACGTGGACGTGGACGTGGACGTGGACGTGGACGTGGACGTGGACGTGGACGTGGACGTGGACGTGGACGTGGACGTGGACGTGGACGTGGACGTGGACGTGGACGTGGACATGGACGTGGACGTGGACGTGGACGTGGACGTGGACGTGGACGTGGACGTGGACGTGGACGTGGACGTGGACGTGGACGTGGACATGGACGTGGACGTGGACGTGGACATGGACGTGGACGTGGACGTGGACATGGACGTGGACGTGGACATGGACGTGGACGTGGACATGGACGTGGACGTGGACATGGACGTGGACGTGGACGTGGACGTGACGTGGACGTGGACGTGGACGTGGACATGGACGTGGACGTGGACGTGGACATGGACGTGGACGTGGACGTGGACGTGGACATGGACGTGGACGTGGACGTGGACGTGGACGTGGCGTGGACGTGGACATGGACGTGGACATGGACGTGGACGTGGACGTAGACGTGGACGTGGACGTGGACATGGACGTGGACGTGGACGTGGACGTGGACTGGACGTGGACGTGACGTGGACGTGGACGTGGACATGGACGTGGACGTGGACGTGGACAGGGTCGTGGACGTGGACGTGGACGTGGACGTGGACATGGACGTGGACGTGGACGTGGACGTGGACGTGGACGTGGACGTGGACGTGGACATGGACGTGGACATGGACGTGGACATGGACGTGGACGTGGACGTGGACGTGGACATGGACGTGGACGTGGACGTGGACGTGGACATGGACGTGGACGTGGACGTGGACATGGACGTGGACGTGGACGTGGACGTGGACGTGGACATGGACGTGGACGTGGACGTGGACGTGGACATGGACGTGGACGTGGACGTGGACGTGGACGTGGACGTGGACGTGGACGTGGACATGGACGTGGACGTGGACGTGGACGTGGACATGGACGTGACATGGACGTGGAACGTGGACGTGGACATGGACGTGACGTGGACGTGGACGTGGACGTGGACATGGACGTGGACAGGACGTGGACGTGGACGTGGACGTGGACGTGGACGTGGACGTGGACATGGACGTGGACGTGGACGTGGACGTGGACGTGGACGTGGACGTGGACGTGGACGTGGACGTGGACGTGGACGTGGACGTGGACGTGGACATGGACGTGGACGTGGACGTGGACGTGGACATGGACGTGGACGTGGACGTGGACATGGACGTGGACGTGGACGTGGACGTGGACATGGACGTGGACGTGGACGTGGACGTGGACGTGGACGTGGACATGGACGTGGACGTGGACGTGGACGTGGACATGGACGTGGACGTGGACGTGGACGTGGACGTGGACGTGGACGTGGACGTGTGACGTGGACATGGACGTGGACGTGGACGTGGACATGGACGTGGACGTGGACGTGGACGTGGACGTGGACGTGGACGTGGACGTGGAAATGGACGTGGACGTGGACGTGGACCTGGACGTGGACGTGGACGTGGACATGGACGTGGACATGGACGTGGACGTGGACGTGGACGTGGACGTGGACGTGGACGTGGACATGGACGGAGACATGGACGTGGACGTGGACGTGGACGTGGACGTGGACGTGGACGTGGACATGGACGTGGACGTGGACGTGGACGTGGACATGGACGTGGACGTGGACGTGGACGTGGACGTGGACGTGGACGTGGACGTGGACGTGGACATGGACGTGGACGTGGACGTGGACGTGGACGTGGACGTGGACGTGGACGTGGACGTGGACGTGGACGTGGACGTGGACGTGGACGTGGACGTGGACGTGGACGTGGACGTGGGTGACGTGGACGTGGACGTGGACGTGGACGTGGACGTGGACGTGGACGTGGACGTGGACGTGGACGTGGACGTGGACATGGACGTGGACGTGGACGTGGACGTGGACATGGACGTGGACGTGGACGTGGACGTGGACATGGACGTGGACGTGGACGTGGACGTGGACGTGGACGTGGACGTGGACGTGGACGTGGACGTGGACGTGGGTCATGGACGTGGACACTGGACGTGGACGTGGACGTGGACGTGGACGTGGACGTGGACGTGGACGTGGACGTGGACACTGGACGTGGACGTGGACGTGGACGTGGACGTGGACGTGGACGTGGACGTGGACGTGGACGTGGACGTGGACGTGGACGTGGACGTGGACGTGGACGGACGTGGACGTGGACGTGGACGTGGACGTGGACGTGGACGTGGACGTGGACATGGACGTGGACGTGGACGTGGACGTGGACGTGGACGTGGACGTGGACGTGGACGTGGACGTGGACGTGGACGTGGACGTGGATGGACGTGGACGTGGACATGGACATGGACGTGGACATGGACGTGGACATGGACAGGGACGTGGACGTGGACGTGGACATGGACGTGGACGTGGACGTGGACGTGGACATGGACGTGGACATGGACGTGGACGTGGACATGGACGCGTGGACGTGGACGTGGACGTGGACGTGGACATGGACGTGGACGTGGACGTGGACGTGGACATGGACGTGGACTGGACGTGGACGTGGACATGGACGTGGACGTGGACGTGGACATGGACGTGGACGTGGACGTGGACGTGGACGTGGACGTGGACGTGGACGTGGACATGGACGTGGACGTGGACGTGGACGTGGACGTGGACGTGGACGTGGACGTGGACGTGGACATGGACATGGACGTGGACGTGGACGTGGACGTGGACGGGACGTGGACGTGGACGTGGACATGGACGTGGACGTGGACGTGGACATGGACATGGACGTGGACGTGGACGTGGACGTGGACGTGGACATGGACGTGGACGTGGACATGGACGTGGACGTGGACGTGGACGTGGACGTGGACGTGGACGTGGACATGGACGTGGACGTGGACGTGGACATGGACGTGGACGTGGACGTGACATGGACGTGGACGTGGACGTGGACGTGGACTGGACGTGGACGTGGACGTGGACGTGGACGTGGACGTGGACGTGGACATGGACGTGGACGTGGACGGACGTGGACATGGACGTGGACGTGGACGTGGACGTGGACGTGGACGTGGACATGGACGTGGACATGGACGTGGAGGACTTGGACGTGGACGTGGACGTGGACGTGGACGTGGACGTGGACATGGACGTGGACATGGACGTGGACGTGGACGTGGACGTGGACAGGACGTGGACGTGGACGTGGACGTGGACATGGACGTGGACGTGGACGTGGACGTGGACGTGGACGTGGACGTGGACGTGGACGTGGACGTGGACGTGGACGTGGACGTGGACGTGGACGTGGACGTGGACGTGGACGTGGACGTGGACGTGGACGTGGACGTGGACGTGGACGTGGACGTGGACGTGGACGTGGACGTGGACGTGGACGTGGACGTGGACGTGGACGTGGACGTGGACGTGGACGTGGACGTGGACGTGGACGTGGACGTGGACGTGGGCGTGGACGTGGACGTGGACGTGGACGTGGACGTGGACATGGACGTGGACGTGGACGTGGACGTGGACGTGGACGTGGACGTGGACGTGGACGTGGACATGGACGTGGACGTGGACGTGGACGTGGACGTGGACATGGACGTGGACGTGGACATGGACGTGGACGTGGACGTGGACGTGGACATGGACGTGGACATGGACGTGGACGTGGACATGGACGTGGACGTGGACGTGGACGTGGACGTGGACGTGGACGTGGACGTGGACGTGGACGTGGACGTGGACGTGGACGTGGACGTGGACGTGGACGTGGACGTGGACGTGGACGTGGACATGGACGTGGACGTGGACGTGGACGTGGATGGGACGTGGACGTGGACGTGGACATGGACGTGGACGTGGACGTGGACGTGGACGTGGATGTGGACGTGGACGTGGACATGGACGTGGACGTGGACGTGGACGTGGACATGGATGTGGGACGTGGACGTGGACGTGGACGTGGACGTGGACGTGGACGTGGACATGGACGTGGACGTGGACGTGGACGTGGACGTGGACGTGGACATGGACGTGGACGTGGACATGGACGTGGACGTGGACGTGGACGTGGACATGGACGTGGACGTGGACATGGACGTGGACGTGGACGTGGACGTGGACGTGGACGTGGACGTGGACGTGGACATGGACGTGGACGTGGACGTGGACGTGGACCTGGACGTGGACGTGGACGTGGACGTGGACGTGGACATGGACGTGGGACATGGACGTGGACGTTGGACGTGGACGTGGACATGGACGTGGACGTGGACGTGGACGTGGACGTGGACGTGGACATGGACGTGGACATGGACGTGGAGACGTGGACGTGGACGTGGACGTGGACGTGGACGTGGACGTGGACGTGGACGTGGACATGGACGTGGACGTGGACATGGACGTGGACGTGGACTGGACGTGGACGTGGACGTGGACGTGACGTGGACATGGACGTGGACGTGACGTGGACGTGGACGTGGACGTGGACGTGGACGTGGACGTGGACGTGGACGTGGACGTGGACGTGGACGTGGACGTGGACGTGGACGTGGACGTGGACGTGGACGTGGACGTGGACGTGGACGTGGACGTGGACGTGGACGTGGACGTGGACGTGGACGTGGACGTGGACATGGACGTGGACGTGGACGTGGACGTGGACGTGGACGTGGACGTGGACGTGGACGTGGACATGGACGTGGACGTGGACGTGGACGTGGACGGACGTGGACGTGGACGTGGACATGGACGTGGACGTGGACGTGGACGTGGACATGGACGTGGACGTGGACGTGGACGTGGAAATGGACGTGGACGTGGACGTGGACGTGGACGTGGACGTGGACGTGGACGTGGACGTGGACGTGGACGTGGACGTGGACGTGGACATGGACGTGGACGTGGACATGGACGTGGACGTGGACGTGGACGTGGACATGGACGTGACATGGACGTGGACGTGGACGTGGACGTGGACGTGGACGTGGACGTGGACGTGGACGTGGACGTGGACGTGGACGTGGACGTGGACATGGACGTGGACGTGGACGTGGACGTGGACGTGGACATGGACGTGGACGTGGACGTGACGTGGACGTGGACATGGACGTGGACGGACGTGGACATGGACGTGGACATGGCGTGGACGTGGACATGGACGTGGACGTGGACATGGACGTGGACATGGACGTGGACGTGGACGTGGACGTGGACGTGGACGTGGACGTGGACGTGGACGTGGACATGGACGTGGACGTGGACATGGACGTGGACGTGGACGTGGACGTGGACGTGGACATGGACGTGGACGTGGACGTGGACGTGGACGTGGACGTGGACGTGGACGTGGACGTGGACGTGGACGTGGACGTGGACGTGACGTGGACGTGGACGTGGACATGGACGTGGACGTGGACGTGGACGTGGACATGGACGACGTGGACGTGGACGTGGACATGGACGTGGACGTGGACGTGGACGTGGACGTGGACGTGGACGTGGACGTGGACGTGGACGTGGACGTGGACGTGGACCTGGACGTGGACGTGGACATGGACGTGGACGTGGACGTGGACGTGGACATGGACGTGGACGTGGACATGGACGTGGACGTGGACGTGTGGACGTGGACGTGGACATGGACGTGGACGTGGACGTGGACGTGGACGTGGACGTGGACGTGGACGTGGACGTGGACGTGGACTGGACGTGGACGTGGACGTGGACGTGGACATGGACGTGGACGTGGACGTGGACGTGGACGTGGACGTGGACGTGGACATGGACGTGGACGTGGACGTGGAGATGGACGTGACGTGGACGTGGACATGGACGTGGACGTGGGCGTGGACGTGGACGTGGACATGGACGTGGACGTGGACATGGACGTGGACGTGGACGTGGACGTGGACGTGGACGTGGACGTGGACGTGGACGTGGACGTGGACATGGACGTGGACGTGACGTGGACGTGGACGTGGACGTGGACGTGACGTGGACGTGGACGTGGACATGGACGTGGACGTGGACGTGGACGTGGACGTGGACGTGGACGTGGACTGGACGTGGACGTGGACATGGACGTGGACGTGGACGTGGACAGGGACGTGGACGTGGACGTGGACATGGACGTGGACGTGGACGTGGACGTGGACGTGGACATGGACGTGGACGTGGACGTGGACATGGACGTGGACGTGGACGTGGACGTGGACGTGGACATGGACGTGGACGTGGACGTGGACTGGACGTGGACGTGGACGTGGACGTGGACTGGATATGGACGTGGACGTGGACGGGACGTGGACGTGGACATGGACGTGGACGTGGACGTGGACGTGGACGTGGACGTGGACGTGGACGTGGACATGGACGTGGACGTGGACGTGACGTGGACGTGGACGTGGACATGGACGTGGACATGGAGTGGAGGACTTGATGTGGACATGGACTTGGACGTGGACGTGACGTGGACATGGACGTGGACGTGCATGGACGTGGACATGGACGTGGACGTGGACGTTGGACGTGGACGTGGACATGGACGTGGACGTGGACGTGGACATGGACGTGGACGTGGACGTGGACGTGGACGTGGACGTGGACGTGGACGTGGACGTGGACGTGGACTGGACGTGGACGTGGACGTGGACGTGGACGTGGACGTGGACATGGACGTGGAAATGGACGTGGACGTGGACGTGGACGTGGACGTGGACGTGGACGTGGTCGTGGACGTGGACGTGGACGTGGACGTGGACGTGGACATGGACGTGGACATGGACGTGGACGTGGACGTGGACATGGACGTGGACGTGGACATGGACGTGGACGTGGACGTGGACGTGGACGTGGACGTGGACATGGACGTGGACATGGACGTGGACATGGACGTGGACGTGGACGTGGACGTGGACATGGACGTGGACGTGGACGTGGACGTGGACATGGACGTGGACGGGTGGACGTGGACGTGGACATGGACGTGGACGTGGACGTGGACATGGACGTGGACGTGACGTGGACGTGGACTTGGACGTGGACGTGGACGTGGACGTGGACGTGGACGTGGACGTGGACATGGACGTGGACGTGGACGTGGACGTGGACATGGACGTGGACGTGGACGTGGACGTGGACATGGACGTGGACGTGGACGTGGAGATGGACGTGACGTGGACGTGGACATGGACGTGGACGTGGACGTGGACGTGGACATGGACGTGGACGTGGACATGGACGTGGACGTGGACGTGACGTGGACGTGGACGTGGACTGGACGTGGACGTGGACATGGACATGGACGTGGACGTGGACGTGGACGTGGACGTGACATGGACGTGGACGTGGACGTGGACGTGGACGTGGACGTGGACGTGGACGTGGACGTGGACGTGGACGTGGACGTGGACGTGGACGTGGACGTGGACATGGACGTGGACGTGGACGTGGACGTGGACGTGGACATGGACGTGGACATGGACGTGGACATGGACGTGGACGTGGACATGGACGTGGACGTGGACGTGGACGTGGACGTGGACGTGGACATGGACGTGGACGTGGACGTGGACATGGACGTGGACGTGGACATGGACGTGGACATGGACGTGGACGTGGACGTGGACATGGACGTGACGTGGACGTGGACATGGACGTGGACGTGGACGTGGACGTGGACATGGACGTGGACTGGCGTGGACGTGGACGTGGACGTGGACGTGGACGTGGACTGGACGTGGACGTGGACGTGGACGTGGACGTGGACATGGACGTGGACGTGGACGTGGACGTGGACATGGACGTGGACGTGGACGTGGACGTGGACGGACGTGGACGTGGACGTGGAGATGGACGTGACGTGGACGTGGACATGGACGTGGACGTGGGCGTGGACGTGACGTGGACATGGACGTGGACATGGACGTGGACGTGGACGTGGACGTGGACGTGGACGTGGACGTGGACGTGGACGTGGACATGGACGTGGACGTGGACGTGGACGTGGACATGGACGTGGACATGGACGTGGACGTGGACGTGGACGTGGACGTGGACGTGGACATGGACGTGGACGTGGACGTGGACGTGGACGTGGACGTGGACGTGGACGTGGACGTGGACGTGACGTGGACGTGGACGTGGACGTGGACGTGGACGTGGACGTGGACGTGGACATGGACGTGGATGGACGTGGACGTGGACGTGGACGTGGACATGGACGTGGACGTGGACGTGGACGTGGACGTGGACATGGACGTGGACGTGGACGTGGACGTGGACGTGGACATGGACGTGGACGTGGACGTGGACGTGGACATGGACGTGGACGTGGACGTGGACGTGGACGTGACATGGACGTGGACGTGGACGTGGAGTGGACGTGGACGTGGACGTGGACGTGGACGTGGACGTGGACATGGACGTGGACGTGGACGTGGACGTGGACATGGACGTGACGTGGACATGGACGTGGACGTGGACGTGGGCGTGACGTGGACGTGGACGTGGACGTGGACGTGGACATGGACGTGGACGTGGACGTGGACGTGGACGTGGACTGGACGTGGACGTGGACGTGGACGTGGACGTGGACATGGACGTGGACGTGGACGTGGACGTGGACGTGGACGTGGACGTGGACGTGGACGTGGACGTGGACGTGGAGATGGACGTGACGTGGACGTGGACATGGACGTGGACGTGGACGTGGACGTGGACATGGACATGGACGTGGACGTGGACGTGGACGTGGACGTGGACGTGGACGTGGACGTGGACGTGGACGTGACGTGGACGTGGACGTGGACGTGGACGTGGACGTGGACGTGGACGTGGACGTGGACGTGGACGTGGACGTGGACGTGGACGTGGACATGGACGTGGACGTGGACGTGGACGTGGACATGGACGTGGACGTGGACGTGGAGACGTGGACGTGGACATGGACGTGGACGCGTGGACATGGACAGGGACGTGGACGTGGACGTGGACATGGACGTGGACGTGGACGTGGACGTGGACGTGGACATGGACGTGGACGTGACGTGGACGTGGACGTGGACGTGGACGTGGACGTGG